AGCTTGCATTGTGACATGCTTTCAGAATGTTTTTTTGCCTCTTTCGCGGGGGGGGGGGGGGGGGGTAGTCTCGGGATCTTGTGTGTTTCGTAGCGAAAGCTTAGAGTCTTCATGCTGGTACCGCCCTTCGCGGCCTCGACAGGGAGACACAGGCGGGATCCAAGGTCCTGTCTTCGGGGTGGGATTGCATCAAGAGAAGTTGGGTGGCGAGGGCGTCGGTGCCCCAGCGTGCTTGCAGAGCGTATTGGAGAAGTCGAGTAGCCCTGTCAAAGTCGGGCGCCCCTTCTTGGCAAAAGCGCGTGACCAGCCTTCGGAAGCAGTCGCTCGTGGCGATTCCGCGGAAGCCACCGGCCGGCTTGCGCAGCGCGCAGAGGCCTCGCCAATTGCCAGCACCATCTCGGCCCGGGCAAAGGACATGGCATCGAATGCTAGCAAATCGAAGCCCTCAGCATCTTGCAACAGGACCTTCACATGTTCGGGGTGCATGCCACTGAGACCTGGGGCGCTGGTTTGGCGTGTGGCGCGGAGGGCCGTCGCGACCGCGGCTGTCATCAAAAGGGGCAACTCTGCTGGCTGAAAGGCCAGTGGACCCTGTGGCAAGGGCCGGCACGGTTCGGGGCCGGGGGGGCGGCGTTCGGGGTCGGTAAGGCCCATCCAAGTGGAGTCGTCGCCTGGGACGAGCTCCGAAGATGTGAAGACATGTCGAGCTCGAAAATAAGCTCACCGTTGCGAACTTTTGCGCAGGCAGCTTGTCGGCGTCTAATTATTCGCGTCCGCCGGCCCACGGTCCTGGAGCAACTGGCGGCCATCGCGGGCCCGGCGCAGCAGTGCCGTCCACTCGCCTCGTTGGAACGCCTGCGCTCGATCGAGCAGCGCTATCTGGTGTACTATCTCGTTCTGATCCGACGCTCGGAACCGATTTAAATTTGGCCATGCCGTGTATCTGCCAGCTGTTCAAGTGGCGTACCATGCAATGGTGGAAGAAGGGGGGGCACCCCCTACGACATGGAACCCGACATGCCAAGCGATTCTGCCCCTCCGTTGATGTCGAGCACCACATCACCAACTTCGACGACCGGATAAGTGTGGCCACACAGCGGGGGAGATGGAGGGTTGGGATTGCAAGATTGATGATCCACCATGGGCGTCCGGCAAGCAGCCACCGCTGGAGAACCCAGCTCCAACGTCGACGGGAGCACGTGGACAACGACGCCGGCCGGCTTCTTCAGCTTGGCACGTGGCCAAAATGGGGAGCGCTGAAGGCGCTACCTCCAGGCAGCAGTGGGGGAACATGAGCCGCCGTCCAGTACTAGCAGCGGGGGCACACAGAAGCGCCTGGGATCTGATCGAGGCCGCGAAGCACGCCATGCATGTCATGGTCAGCTCCTTTCATGTCCACACCGACTCACCAGTCTACGTGTGGCCTCCGGCGCCACGCTGTCAGACGCAGTCATTGCCTGCCGCCTACGCTACTGCTACGGGTGGGCCGGGACGCGGCTCGGCTGCAGCCTGGTTTGCAAAGCTCGTGGCACAAGGCTTTGTTTGCAGTGGTAGCTCCAGGAATGTGGCTGCAACGCTGCGCAGGAACCGCGATGAGGCCACTCCACCGGAGCACCCACACGGCCGCGCGGCGGTGCTGCAGGCGTGTCGGATGCGGGCATGCACGCGGAGGTGGAGGAGGGAGGCAGCTTTGGTGTCCGAGCGGCCACAAACCTCGGGCGCAAGCACAAGCGGCACCTCCTGCCGCTGTCGAGCGCCTGGCTGCAGCAAGCACAGCAACCCCCGGCTGGGTTTCATTACCAGGTCTTCCGTCGAGGGAACCGTGGCTGATCGACTGCCAGCTGGGCGCCGTGCCACAGCCAGGCTGTGTGCAGCAGCACCCGGCCTTCCCGCGACACCACTCAGCACCTGCGCTTATAGGCATAGGCTTGGTCCTCGGCAAGCTCCACAAGGCTGCCGTGAGACTTGCCAATGCCGATGTCGGCGTGCATTGCCAGGACCGCTCATATGCCCGGCGGCTCGCAAGGAGCACCAGATAGCACCAGATGCAAGATTGGGAAACACGTTGAGGCCACGGCGGGGGCGTGGAAGAGGATGAAAAATGAAACTTCGCAGCCTGATCATCCCGAATCATCCCCGTTCCGATGCCGAACGCGACTAGTCGGCACCGGCGCGCTCAGAGCAGGGGTTTCCTCCACTCTGTGCGGGCGACCTCGACTCCAAATTGAGTGTGAGGCAGGCCTTTGCGCGAGAAGGACGCCTGTTGTTGCATGCCTTGCTTTGGCACGGCGCCGATGCCTCGGCTGGGTCCTCCACTGGCCAGCACTGTCACGCAGCTGCCTGCGATCTTGGTTCTTCACCCGTTGCGACCCGAGGACATATTCTCTGGCTTCGTCCATCAGGAAGGGTGATGCCGGCTTGGGTGTATGTCCGCGCTCCGTAAGCTCTGGATGATAGCGGGGCGAAGCTCTTTGCCAACGCCTTTCCGGACGCGTGCCTCCATTTCAACATCGGACTTAGCACAAAGGACGGGTACCGAGAGCCTCCATGCTGTCACGGCTTTTGACCCACGTGCGCGCTCTCGGTCGACATCGCATAAATCTCTTACGACCAGGTTTCGCGCCAGCGGTCCCCCACGGCCTCTGCCTTTTGGTGGCAGTTTCCGGCTGTGAGGCTTCTGCGGTGACTTACTGTAGTGGCAGGACTGGCCTAATTATTTGGTGGGCCGCGCTAGGGCTAGTACCACGTCTCCGCACATACAATACGTAGAAAAGGGCTGTGCTTCCGCAAGATTATTCTGGTAGAACTGCGTATCTTTCCATGTAGTAGGTGGTCAGTTTTCAGTCGTGCGCATGTCATCCCCTCTTCTGGCACAAGTTGATGCATCTTCGGCCTTTTTTGGTCGACGCGTGGATGCCAAGATGCTGCACATCCAGATTTCCGGCGCATCTACTCGGGCTTCAGCCGCGACCTGCATCGCTTTGCTTTTTCGACAAGTCTGCACTGCACATCTTGGACTTCAGCGCTGTGGTGCAGGAGCCACGCTGATCACCGTCATGTTCATGATCATAATCCTACTTTTAACCTACCAAAATCTACTTTTTTGTTGGTTCTTCTTGCAATCTCTACTATAGGGATCCTACAAAACAGTAGGTTTTGGCGGGTTAAAGTACTCTGCATCGTCGTGATTGTGACACACTGAGCTTCCGGACATCTTCCAAGGCTCCGTAGCTCCAGCCTTAAGGGGACTCAAGCCGCAGCTCTCAGCTGGACTTCCTGTCCCCAAAGCTTCTAGCATGGGAGTTTCCGAAAATAGGGGACCCAAATATAGTACCCGAAATAGTAGGATCCTGATGATAAGGACTGCTAAATGAGGTACCCCTAATTTTTGGAGACTCCTACCTCAACCACTTACCTATAACAGCTTTCGAAACCTTATGCAGTCCTGGAGGAGTCATCGACTGGAGGGTCTGGAAAGCAGAAATCAGTGCGAACGGTATGGAAAACACGGCGAAAAATCTGCGCCGAGGCTTGGGTTGGAAGCTTCGGGAATTACTCCCTAAACCTAAGCCATGTGGAGTTCGACCCATTTTCGGTGGTTTGTTGAAGATCTCTTTGGACAGCTTTTTTTTTGCGGCTACCTCATCCTCGAGCCTTCAGTGTGGCCCCAACCGTGCCTATTGCCCTCCTTTCGTCGGCCAAACTCCGGGTTTGAAGTGCACTAGGCAGCGATTTACGATCCGTAGGATTCTTGGCTTTGTCGGAACCTACATCGAGACAACTACATGTGCTGATTTCTCTCCCCATGGCAGGCCATGCAACAAGCCTAAGCCAAGGCCCACACGCGCCCGTCGCGGGCTTTAGTCAGCTGGAGCAAAGAGCAGAAAGGGATGACTGACACGAACTCGCCTGGGCCGAAGCTGATTCCTTCATGGTCGGAGGGCTCTTATATCAAGACCACTGAGAAGTTGTGGACAAATCACCGCTGCATCTTGGTACGAGAAGCAAGGCTGGGCAAAAGTGCGTCGAACTGACCCTTAGATGCTGCGACGGTAAGGGCCACGCAGCCATGTGTTGCGGACGCTCTTTGGCGCCTGTCCATCCGTGGTCAGTCAGCGCATGTCACAGCCTTTATCTGCTCTCATAGAAAGTATTGCTAAACTGGCCGCGTGCTGCAGATTCTGCTGTCGATGTACATACTCTGGAGTTCCGTGATTTCCCGAAAACTCTCAGATGGTGAAGCCTGCGGCGGCCCAAATGATGATGCTGTTGTCATCGGAAGCTGAAGCCAGCAAACCTCGACCTTGCTTGACCGAGGCCCTCTCCCGTTGAAATGAACGAGTCGGGTTTAGGGTTCAGTCCAGTAGCAGGACGTGTAGTGGGAGTTGGGTTTCTCCGTGAATACTCTCGTGCATCGGCCCCAAACCCTTAACCCCGACCACCCTGATTGAAACTCCTGCCAAGCGCAAGCGGACGCCACAAGCACAGCACCCTCAAGCGGGACGGCAAACATCTTCCCCGTCATGGTCTTGCGGCACTAGTAGTAGTGAAGCTCAAGATTACACACCAGCGCGACAAGATGCGACAAGCATAGGTTCATCGCCTTCTTCAAAAAACAGAGCCAGCCACTGTGATCGTCACATGCTGCTTCGAGCTGAAACGTCTTTCCGCTGTCGTCTCACCCTTCAATTGATCTGTATTGACCGCACGGCTCGTGCGGTTTCGGTGTAGTACAGGGTATCGGGATGATGTCGGCTTCTGCTGTCTGCTGTTCGCCCTTTCGTGGCTTGTGAGCAAGTGTCGTGCAGCTGCGGTACGGGGGTCTCAGCTCCGGACCGTTCCAGCTCACGGCATTCACAGGCTCAGCATGACCTGGGGATCAAGGCATGGCCGCTTCCACTGCAAGGTCTCTGCACGGTCTCAGCCAGAGTCCCTTTTCAGCTCCCTTTTCTGCTGTTGTGCCCCTATACTGTGCCAAGAAACTGCAGGATCCTATTATCCTATTGACTAGCTACATTGCAAGCACGAGCATTGCGTGACCCCTCGCACTCCTCATGTTGAGCATCTGCCCTCAGAGAGTGCACCTCATGCAAGAAGATCTGTGCCGTAATCCTGTAACCATTACCATCCATGGCACTACACCCAGCATGCCACAAGCGCCAATCCACCTTCGGGAGCTTGCGCTTCTTTGAATCGCTGGGCTCCATCACATCCATGAGCAAAACATCCCCGTCCTTCGATGAAACTTTCAAACCAGGGGCCTTTCCTCGGCACATCGCCTCTGCCAAGAGATGTAGAGGCTCTGCACGAAGCTTCCCCGGAGCCTCAGCAGCAAGACCATCATAACCCGGTAGCCACAACCAGTTGATCGGTCTTATGCCTTCTGCAGTTTCTGCTGGAAGGCCTGCAAGTTCTGGATGCTCCTCCAAGAACTCGTACTGCTTGGATTCTGGTAGTTCCAGCCCCTTCGCGCGAAGTGTCATCAACTTCTCATGCGCATGCTCCAGATGCCGTGCAGCTCGGGAGCAAAGCTTCTGCCTTCGAGTGACTTCCTTTGCATCCATATCATCAGTCTCCAGGCAAGGGAAGACAGTTCCACCATTTTTCTCGAAATCTCCCGTCCCAGAGAGATACGCGAGAAGCGTCTGGCGCCTCTCCGGATGCAGGCGTGCATCCAGGTGCAGAGGCCCAGATCGGTTTAGGGCTCCTTCAGGTCTCCAAGGCTCCCAGCGAGTCACATAAACGGGAGGGGGCAGCCCTTTCCATCCCGCCAGAGTCGTGGCACGCTGAAGGAAGTCTTCCAGAACTGTCCACTCTTCTTTCCCATCCTCGGAGTCGTCAGAGATATTGAGCACAGAGAGCTCCTCGCCTCCAGCAGTATCAGCCGAGGACTTACTCCCACTTTCTGCATCACCGACATCCTGGTACATCTCGCTCTCTGCGAGGCGACGAAGAGCGGATGTCTCCGATTTGGACAGGAAGCCCTTCCTCAACTCAATCTTGGGCTCCTGACATGAAATCGTGCAGAGCCCAGGCGCAACATTCGCAGCCGCAATAACAATCTGAACAATAGTAGTAGTAATAACAGGATTAGTCATTATCATGACAATGATATAATGGCACAATCATGCGTTTCGCAGCTGAAGGCATGGCTCCTCGCTCAGGATGTAGCGCTCAGGAGTCTTTCCCTTCACTGACCACAGAGAGCATGCAGTGAAGGCCAGGATGGCCCAAGTGCACAACCTGGGCCACAGGAAACATAGTAGAACTATGAAGAAGCTACAGGAATAGCTGCTATCACTCTTCTTCTTATTATTGTTGCTGTTATTGTTGTCATTATATGTTTGTCACTATTATTACTATTCCTATTATTATTAGTACTACTATTGTTAACATTGCTACTCTTTTGATCTTTTTGCTATGACTACATGAGGGGACCAAAGGGATGCTAGTACTAACTGTTCAGGCCCCTCTGTCAATCAGATCTAGAGCTTCAATCTCGGCGTTGCAGCTGAGGCAAGTGCATTCTGTCTCAGCGCCGGCCAACTTTCCTGAAGTTGGGGAAGGGTTAGGCAGGGTCCCAGTGCTCCACATCATGTAAGAGATGCTGAGGTTCCAGCAATACCAGCAACCGCAGGAAAGCAGTACCCTCTGTGAGCCAAGTAGCTGCGAGCGTTTACAAGATGAAGAAAAATGCGCAGGCTCCAGCTACATCCGATCCAGGATTGCGTGTCGGCACCCTGAGACACGTGCCACACAACCGCCGAATCAAGCGGCCGTGACGACGATGCCAAATGTACACGCGATGGTCCTGCACGGCACAGCGTGCTTTTCTCCCCAGAGTTGTGCGATGCAGCATTCCCTGATATTCCCTGGCTGAAGGGGTTGCAGGTTGGGGAGACCAAGCTCGTCTTCGAGTTCTTTGCGGGTCCAGTGCAAAGCAAACTCCACATTCCAACAACTACATGTGGGGGAATCTCTGGGTGTTTGATGACCGTTTCTTTGCTTCTTGCAGGCGTCAGCATTGCATCCTTTTTCCATCAGCTTGTCCGTTGCTTTTTCTTGATTCTTATCACGGTTTTATGCGACGGCGGCGGCATGAATCCCTCAAAGTAGTCTCAAGAAGCGAACCTTGCTCAATTTTCCATCGTATTTCCACCTTCCCACACGTTTTGGTAATTGCTTCCTCTCTCTTTGCCGCGAGAATTCCTTCAAAGGCTCCCCAACCTTCGTCGTTTGGGCAGCCGGGGCGGTCCGGGTAACGCGAACACAAGCTGGACGTGGGCGCGGTTGTTAGGGATAGCAAGGCGCACCTCACCGCCGCTCGCCAGAAAGTCCGAGTCCGACCACCTGGAATGTCCGGTGTAAAGCCTTGAGCCCTTGAGCATCATGTTGCCATCAGGGCCCCTGCTCTTCTGTGAAGATGAGGAACGGACTTTCCTGCGGAGAAGTGCAGCTCAAGGGAACAGAAGCCGACAGCACTAAGGACCATCGCTCAACCACGGGGCCTTCGTGGTGAAAGCGAAATGACCATCGAAAACGGAGAGGACGTCCAACGTTCTTGCCTGAGCAAGCTGCGATGCGGATTTGGTGAAGTAGCTTTGGGGGGTAATTTAAGCTTATACTGCTACAATCATAATAAGGAACCCAAAGGAACCCTATTGGCAACTATTTAGGCCCCTGTATTAAAGGAGATTTGGTGAAGTGGAAGACGACCCATTTGAGGCTGATGCATCCAGCAGAAGGAGCTCCATTTTGGTGGACCTAGCAGAGAGGATCCGAAAGACGCCGTCAGCTGCTTGGGACTTCTGATCTGGGGGTTTCTGAAAATTAGGGGTACCTTACTTTGGGGTCCTTATAATAAGGATCCCACTATTTGGGGTACTATATTGGGGTCCCCTACTTTCGAGGTCCTTATAATAAGGATCCCACTATTTGGGGTACTATATTGGGGTCCCCTATGTTCGGAAGCTCCCATCTGAGTGCTGCACAGATCTGGGGCTGGCCGTAAGAGAAGATCCTGCTCGCCCGACAGATTTGCATCCCAAGAGCCTTCGGTGCTTACCTGATCTGTATCTGTAGATCGTAGATGTATGGGCATGTTGATGGTTGTGTTTGCTTGCACATGTTTATAGTCACTGCAGGTATAGGGTCCAATCATCTAGGCATGCACTGCAATCAATCAGCACTGCAGGCATCAACGTGCAACTCTTACATTTGCATAAACGTAGATATGTACATACAGATATACATGCATACGTACTTGCACTATACATGCCTACATAGCGATGAATTTGGCATCTCGTCAGCATTAAACTGCACAGCTACAGCTGGCATCTCTGCTTCGTCCTCGAAGGATGCACCGGCTTGTAGACTGGCCTGAAAAGGCTCAGTGCCGATAGTAATGGCACTGACACGCGTACACTTTTGGCTAAGCAACATTGTGCTCAGTCTGTATGCATGAGCAAGAACTAGTAACTAGACCAGGTGATTCTGCATGCATACAACACTCTTGCATTCCGAAAGCTCTGCGACTACCGGTTTTGCTGTGCTTTCCCAATCTCTCACCCTGCGTGCGGATGCTAGCATCCGTAGCAGAGCACATGTGTGAATATCACTTCTGATAGACTTGTCTCGCATCTGTAATATTTGCAGACCTTCTGCCCAAATACAGCCGACATAATGTAGAATCACTGGCAGGAACCTCCATAATCCTCGTGTCGTTGCATTTCAGTAGCGAACCTCCAGCAACTCATCACTACAGTCGGTCCTCCAAACTCTCTCGTAATCTTGACAAAACTGTATGCAGGAGCTCTACAAACCTCAACACACACCGTTGTACTTCTCGAAAAAAGCTTGGAGTTTTATTTCGGCTCTGTTCTCGTCTTTCGGTGCTTTCTTTCTTTGGACTGTGATCTTGCTTTTCCTGCCTTTGTCACCTCTCCGCGTCCTATTATTACACAGGATGCTCTTTGCATGTGTCTCCCCTGGTGCTGCGGCGCAATTTTCCGTCAATAACGTGCTCGCTGCTGGCGACATTACTCAGTCTAAATAAAAACGATATGGACTACCTCTTGTTTGTGGAAAACATTGAACACCAGCATTATTTGGGAAAAACGATTTACGGGCTTCCTTTGGATTCCGCGTGCCAAGGTGGCAAGCACAAGCCCGGTGTTCCCGAAACGTACCAGCAACACCGTGCGTACGGATCATTTTCACATGCTGACATAAACAATACAGGTGGCCAACTCACAAACACCATGTGGCGGCTTTACAAAATGGAAAATTGTCACTCGATTTCGGATTATGACTACTACGGCCTAGACGTATCTGCATGTTGTAATAGTACTGTCTCGGTCGAACGCTACTATGCTTAAACAAGAACGACTTGTGGGATGTGGACATTCTATAATAAGGTGTACAAACTCTGAATGCGCCCAGAGTTGTAAACACCTACTTTCCAGATTTGCAAAAACCACGTCCCTTCCAGTTTCCAATCCACCACACATCTGCAAGCTGCTAAACTTGGTGCTTGCAAATCTGGAGAACTCGTTCTTGCAAATCTGGAAGCTGAAAATTGTAAACCCCGCAAATGTAGATCTTGAGGGTGTGGTGGAGATAGATGTGTACATGTATAAAAAAACAGATATGTAAGTATAAATGTATTCACACAAGCACATCAAATACAGAGAAACACATAAACCTCGACACATAGAGTTAAGTACACAGGCAGATTTCAGCAAATAGGTGCAACATGGTGCAACAATTAATCCCTAAACCTAAAGCCCTAAACCTCTACACCCCTAAAGCCTTAAAACCCTAAACCCTAAACATCCACACCCCTAAACCCTAAGCCCTAAAGCCCTAAATCCTAAAGCCCTACACCCCTAAACCCTAAGCCGTGGCCCGGGTGACTTCGGCAGTGCCCGGCCTGCGAAGCCTCGCTTTGTCCTCCACGGAAGAGACAGCAACTCATGGCGATACCGTACGTGCTATGAGGGTTTTAGAAAGGTAGGGTAGGGGCAATAGGACAGTATGTCTGTCTCTCTCTATGTATATATGTGTTGCATATACATATATATATATATATATATATATATATCGATCGGGGGCCCGCTTCTTCCAGCAGCGTGCGATGCTCCGCGGTATTAGCTAGGCTCGCCATGCCTAGCAATTCCATCCAAGCGCAATACTAAACTAATTTCGCATTCGATATAATATTCGAACGTTTAAAGACACATGTTGTATCCAGGCGAGAATCCCACACATAACGTAACCGCAAAAAGGTAGAAAGGTAGAAAGAGACAGAGAGAGGGACAGAGAGAAAGACAAGGAGGTAGAGAGAGAGAGAGAGAGAGAGAGAAATACAGACAATAATAGAGAGAGAGAGGGATAGAAAGAGGGATAGAGAGAGGGACACAGAGAGAGAGAGAGAGAGAGAGAGAGAGAGAGAGACAGAGAGAGACAGAAAGAGAGACACAGAAAGAGAGAGGCTGAGAGAGACACAGAGAGAGACACAGAGAGAGCCACAGAGAGAGACACAGAGAGAGACAGAGAGAGAGACAGAGAGAGAGACAGAGAGAGAGAGCGAGAGAGACAGAGAGAGAGACAGACAGAGAGACAGAGAGACAGAGAGAGACACAAACAGAGAGACACAGAGACAGAGAGAGAGACACAGAGAGAGAGAGAGAGAGAGAGAGAGAGAGCGAGACAGAGAGAGAGAGAGAGAGACAGAGAGAGACAGAGAGAGACACAGAGAGAAACAGAGAGAGAGAGAGAGAGAGACAGATAAACGGTACGCTACTGATTTCCTTACGAATTGGGTAGTCGGCACCATTTTTATGACATTCCCTGAGAATATCGTAAAAATGGCAGACCGTTTTATGAAATTCCCAGAGATTTTCATAGACGCTAGCGCTATGAAATTTCCAGAGAATTTCATAACAATTTTCATGAAATTCTCGGAGAATTTCATAAAAATGCCTCCAGGGCCTCGTAGGAAGGGAAATGGAGCAAAAGCCTATGAACATTCCCGAGACTTTCATAGAAATGGTCTGGCGACCACACGCGCAGACGTAATGACACGGATTCGCGGTTTCGTTTTATAGAATAAATACAATATATATATATATATATATATATATATATATTTACAGGTATATGTGTATGTTTGTTAGGTGTACGTTACATGCACATATGGCCGGCCTCCAGTCTTTTGACTTCCGGATATAGCATGGGCATAAGGCCTGTCCAACGGTAAAAGAACTCGAGCTGACCGTGCGTTCAAACACGCGCCGGCCTTGTGTTCAAGAGAATAAAATCGCCGGCTTCGTTCCATTTGGCACTAAGCACCACGCGCTCTCCCATGGAGTAGACCTATCAAGAACCGGAGTGAGCGGGAATTTCGCAGGTGCCTGCCGTCCTGCCTTGACTTTAACGTCGTACACCGCAGGCAAAGCTGAGGCAGCCTCAGAAATGAAAGAGACCAACCCTTGGAGCCGGCTTCAACCACTTCGGACTCAAGCCTCCCCATCTGGCGCAAGACCTGCAAGGTGCTCAAAACACAACAGGCCTGAAACTCTGAGCGGGTAGAACAGAGCGCAGCAGAGCCTTCGACACCTTCACCTCGTCGCTGCAAACGGCTCAGGTCCATCAAACCTCGGCATCTCCGTCTGCTGTCAAGGCGTCTCATTGTCGCTACTTTGTTAGACTCCTGTCCATTTTGCTCAAGCTACCGGAACCCAATACGCGGCAGAAGAAAGCCTCAGGCTGAAGCCTATCTCGTTGCACAGATGAGGTGTGCTGCCCGTCATGGCCAGAATCTGTTGACGACCCACTTTGTCTGGCGGCCCCACCTGCCGGCCGTGCTCATTTGATGATGATCACCCATGCTAGCTTTATCAGCACGCGACTTGGATTCATTTCTCTTGTTAAGAAGAATGGTGGTTTTTGTGCATCTTCACCATCATATCATTTCAAACGGCACCATTGCAACACATATCATCAACATCATCCTCATCATGAGCACCATCTTCTTCATCCTCACTATCATCATCATCATCATCTTCATCATCACCATCATCATCACCGTCTTCTCCATCATCACCATCACCATCTCCATGATGCACAGTCTCTCTCCTGCCTGATCATGTCCATCTTTACACCCAAGCGTTAAATCATCGTTCATCATCATCGTCATCAATCTGGTCGTCGTCATCCTGCCCTGTTGCTTTGGTGAGTCACCGTTTCTTGTAAGTAGTTGGAAGGTTTCACGCGTCTGTGAAGAGTTCGTTGAGCACATGGCGCTTCGGGCACAAAGCAAGCCTCCAGGCAGTGAAGGTAGTTCATCTGGCCTTCAAGCCGAAGCCTCAACGGTGCAATCATTGCAATCGGGTGCAGCTATGACATGGCGAACAGCATCCGACTGCCTGGCGAGTGGTCGCGGAGTGCTGCCGCTCGCAGCCGTTGTCTGTGCCTGGCCGATGCTTTTGTCTAAGCTTGACCTTCAGCTTTTCCTTCCTCTGCCTCTGGCCCGGATGTATGTGAAATGGCTTCGCCAACGTGCAGCGACACGCCTGTGCGTCTTGAAAGCTGGGATGTCTCGGCCCAGGCCAGACCTCAGCTCCAAGGGGATGCACAGAACTACCGTGAAGAATACAGTGTCCATAGGTCCATATTGTAAGAACCAGAATACACATGCAGGCAGAGACAAAGACGTCGGGCAGCTAGGTAGGCATGTAAATCGCACCATAACATGAGGCACTTGCAAACCAACAGACGGGCACAGCGAGAGAGGGAGAGAGAGAGAGAGAGTAAGACACGGACAACTAGGTCGAGACAGGTGCACAGGCATCTGATTGTTGTAGACTTGAGAATATGAGTTGGGTTTCTCCTCCTCCCGAGAGTCCAGTAAATCAGTCTGAATGAGGTTAACAGAAGTTATGAAATACAAGCGAGACATTGAATCTATTAATCAAGAATATGCTTCCAACTACAACCCGAGTTGACGATGGCAAACTGCTCTGCAGGTTTTTCCTCTTCCCCCTGGGCAGCATTTATTTTCGTCTGAGGGCATCGCATTCAACCATTGCACCTCGCAGTCATGTCCAAGAAGGCGTTGCAAGACAGCGAAGCATAAGATGGCTTCGAAAACGGGCTCCTTCTACAACCTTCTTTACAGTGTGTGATCTTCTTCTAGTTGACCGGACGAACACCTGCACCCAAACTTGGGCAGGCTGAGATTCGCGCGTAGTGCTCGTTTTCCCGCAAGACTGCCCAGCCGGCAAGGAAGCACAACCGCTCGTACTCATCCTGCCCATGTCAAGGCTGATAGCAAACCAAAGCATTGCTTTTTCCATGTCGTATGCACTATCATGGACGAGGCTGCTGCTGGCGCCATACCGCTCGATTCATCCTTGCCTCTTCCTGTTACGACCCTCTGCGTTGCTGCTATCCACTAGTCCGGCAGCTACGACGATTACGGCGACGTTCCCTGTGTGCTGCGAAAGGGCCTGCGTACCGTATTTTGCATGGTGGGCCCAGTTGATTGAACAGTTTCTTGTTTAGCGAGATACATAGTTTGATGCCGAACCATAAAGCACATGCAAACACATGCACACTACCTGAAGCAAGAAGCTCCCCAAGAAACAACTACCACCGGCCAACAAACAGCCCACACTGTCGTAAATAATGTTGCTTTCGGTCCTGATCCAATTTTGTGCAAACCACGAAAACAGGGTACACACAAGACGTGGTGCTTCATGCGGTCTGAACATACGAAACCCGTGAACTGCCACAAATCACGATGCTTTCCAGCGACAACAAGACAAGGTTTTGCAAACAACGACGTTGTCGATGGGTCAAGCCTGAATTATGCGAAGTCCAGAATTCACCAAAGCCAAGTGTCGATGCAACCGCGTGTCAACAAGAACCTACTACTACTAAGTTACTACTACTACTACTACTACTACTACTACTACTACTCCTCCTGCTGCTGCTGCTGCTGCTGCTGCTGCTGCTGCTCGCGATACTAGTCCTACGACTACTACTACTACTACTGCTGCTACTACTACTGCCAGTACTACTACTACTACTGCTATCGCAACTGCTGCTGCACCACTACTAGCGTCTTGTAAAAGTGCCACTCCTACTCTCCTTTGCCGAACACCGACAACTCGGCATGCAAATGGCATTCAGACTGGATTGCGGACTTAACTCGTGAACGAATAGTAAAACTGACTGAGTCCTATAAGGAATCTATAGTAGGGCTTTAGAATATAGGGGCCTTAATTATTAGAATAAGTACATTATACTATAACCCTAAACCCTAAACACTAAAATCCTAAAAGCCCTAAAACCCTAAACCCTAAAACCCAAAACCCTAAAACCCCAAACCCTATAATAAGGCCGAATTCTACGTGCATGGCGGGTCCTTGGGGCCGCTGTCGATGCTGGGCTCGACCTGGCCGGTGTCGCGATGCAGCGCTGACACATGGAGAAGGTTGAAGCCCAAATACAGCATTAAGTGTATGTACATATGAGTGTGTATATATATATATGTATATATATATACATATATATATATATATATCTTGCACAAGGAACGTGACACACTGGAAAACCATATGTTTAACTTCTGTTAATCCCACGCGCAAGGATGGACACGCCGAAAGCAATGGCACCCAAGGTGTAGGAAACGTTGGAGAAACCAATGAGAACCGCTGACAAGGACCATGAAACATTGTTGGAACCAGTACTAACATCAACGAAAGGCAAGATTTTCGCAACGTACTCAGAGCAGTGGCTGTCGGCAAGACGAAAAATAATGCAAACCCAGATCAGTAAGCAAGATGTATGAACCAATAGGGATCTGATTCACACCGCCCACTGCATTTCCTTAGGCGAATGCTTGAAAGCATGCCGATCAGGACAGCAAGGGGCGGCCAAGGAAAAATGGCGGCGTAGATGTCGAAAGGCCTGTTGTGGCACCTGGGTTGAGAATTTCGATAACAGCCCTACGATCAGCAATATTCGGTGTAGCCATTTTCATACTGATGCTGATGCTGATGCTAATATTAACACTAATACTAATACAAGCAAAATCGGCCCATGCCCTGCCGGATCTGAGTTTGCAATTGGCAAGGCCCGGGCTGGAAGATGCATTTCGCATGATAGCCGACCGGGAGCTCTTCGAAGCTGTTGAAAGGCCCCTGGAGCTCTCAATCTGTGCGTCCATGGGAACCCTAAACCCCTCAACCCCTAAACCCCTAAGCCCCTCAACCCCTAAGCGCCTAAACCCCTCAACCCCTAAACCCTAAACCCCTCAACCCTAACCCCTAAACCCCTAAACCCTAAAACCTAATGGGAAGGCAAAACAATGGCAGCGGCCTCGGATTCTGAGTGCTCCATGGAGCCACCGTCTTCTTGAATCCTCGGCGTCATTATATTCTGTTATATTATAGTCTATTCATACTATATTATCTTGTAAGTCTATACTGTATTCAATAAACTATATATATATATATTTATATCTATATATTTATGTATACGTATATGTATAAATTCCGCTCCAAGCTCGAAGCGATCCGGAGCAGGGAACCGAGGCACGCGCTGCCAAATCTCAACTTTTGAGGCTTGCCAGCCGGCGCCTGCATCCTCCCATGTCGGAAAGAGGAAGCTAAACACATAAAAACTACCCAAAACTACAACAAATACAGATTAAAAAGAACAAGCATACATACCTGTATATATATATATATATACACACTTATATGTACTGTTCTTAGTAGTACTGTTATATTGCTTGTTTCTATTATTGCTGTTATTATCATGAGGCATCGCAACATGGTGTCGTCGCTGTCCTCGGTGCTGACCGCCACCATGTCATAGGGTGGGATCGGCCACCACATAGCTCGACAGGGTGCTGTCCTTATCAAGGGGGTTTCCAGAGGGTCGGAAGGAGTCTGGTCGTTTAGCTGGCATTCTCTTTCCAAGTCTGAGGGCGCTTCCTTTTTGGGCGGAAGTGGCTTGACACGGACGCGAAGCTAAAACAGCAACGTGGAAACCCTAAGGCCCGGGCTGGTGAGTGAATACAGCTTCCCTCTCGAAGCGAGGGTATCTCGAGGACCTGTGCGCTTTTGAAACTGAGCCAGCTAGGTTCCTCCAAGCTACCTCCAAACTACACTGAAGCTCTTGAACTGTTCCGGCTCTGAGTCGCGAGCTCACTCGCGGAAGGGTCGAGACAAAAGTCCTCCTGCTCACTGCAACCTGGGAGCAAAACCACACAAGCAGCAAAAACATGGGATGACATGGCATCCACCCTTAAAACCCTGCCAGATTCCCTGCCGCCGACTGAGCCTGCCGGCTGTCACACTCCGTCTGAACTTTGAAGACGATCTGCGCCGCAAAAATGCGCACTTTCTAGTCTCACCGGATCCGGACATGGAAACCGTTGACAAACTTTCCAGCGTGCCGTCTGCAAGTCCCGAGAGCAGCTTGCCAGGCGAGTTCCGCAAGGCGAGAACACAACAAAAAGGACCTTGGATGCAAAGTTGCGAGGGCACAAACAGCTGCAATGATGAGTGTGGGGCTGCGCCATTCAGCAGTTTGATGACACATGCGACACATCTCGTAATTTGAGTCCGAAACCTCATCACCGTGCTCATTGAGCTGAGTCAGCATATGGGTGGGTGCCTGAAGTACCTGACAAAAACGGAGTGGAACAGCTCAGTCGCCTGCCGGCTGGTATCCGGCGTTGCTTGCAACTTCGTGGGACGGTTCACGGCATCATACTAGTAGGATCTATAGCATACTACACCGACACACTCGTGGGAGAAAAAACAGAACATGCAGTCTTATTCAACTGGGCCAACTGCATTATGCTTCAGCTCTTCCTTCCAGGAGCCTGAGACACAAAGCCGCAAAGCACTAATTTGTAGAAGCAGGTATGAAACAACAGCAATTTCTGCCAACACTCCAATCTACAGTAGTTATCCAGACGCTCATGATCCCTCATACTTCGAGTCAAACTGGTGGCTTGCCTCGCAACGGTTCTCGCAGTCCTCGGCTTCTGTTCACTGACTGGACGCATGCAGCCGAGATGGAGCACTTCGAGCGTCGTGCTCTCGTCTCTCGAGCGCGCTGCCTCCGTAGCTTCAGGGGCTTTAATAATTAGAATAAGGTTTGGCACCCATTATACTACAATTCTAAAATGGACGCCCAAAAAAGGATTGGCAATTTATTTAGGCCCCTAGAGTATCTTCTTTCTTCGCAGCTCGAAGCTGGGACAATGCTAGCGACGGACAACGCTGCAGAACTCCGCGAATCTCGCTAGCACTCACGATCGCGAGATTGCTGTGCCGTCGCCTTTTGAAGGGGTCCTGCACTGGCCGTCGAGGAACTGCTGACGGCACCTGTCCGTGATGGCGATGCGTGACAACAAAATTTGGGACTCAGGCAGATGCTGCTCATTGTGACAGAGCACCGCTCCGGCAGCTGTGTTTTCGACTCTAGTGCATCTGGCACATCCTGTGATGTTAGCTCTGTGCTACCCAGAGAGAGCGGAAGCAGCACATCAATGGCCAGCTGAAGCAGAGCCGGCGTTTTCATGTTGTGGATTATGGGCACTCTTTTGGCCCGGAACAAGGATGTGCAATGCCTGGCAAGATCTTCACCCCGCGTTTTGCAGTGGGCTTCTGCTGAGCGCACATCCGTAAAGTTCCAAAGCAAAGCAACTTCACGAATCGCTTTCATCCTCTCCGGCTCCTCCTCTCCGAAGGGGAAAGCTTGCCAGCAACCCAAAGGGAAGGGGACTAAGATGTCGGACATGGCATCATTTCCACATCCATTGGCACCCAGAATTGTCGGTGGTCGGCTGAGGTAGTCCCGGAGATTCTCCTGAGCATGGCAGGCACGGTAGCTCTCTCTCGCCTCCTGACATGTTGAAACATTGGTGGCTCAAGATGCTGCCGGGATATCAAAAGGAGAAGCCCAATTGTGTAGACAAGTCACAAGTAGTAGCAGTAGACCGCCGATCCCAAGAAGCTATCCCTAATTGGAAGAACATCCTAAATTAACAGCGTTGAGAACGCGGTTGAGATATGTCACGACAACAGGGAGTGGGAATGGGGACACTCCAGGAACAACTCACGAGCTGTCTTCGCCACATTTACAGTATCCCCCCGCCCACTCTTTATGCCATTGCCATCTGCCTAAACCCCAAGCCCTGGAAACCCTTATGCCTTGCACAACCCGGATCCAAGACCCCGGGATACATTCATCCCAGACGCATAGACCATATCCTGCTCACAGTGCCCCTCATTGTGAGCTCGTGATCCCGAGATGACAGGGCAGCCGAGACCCTTTGATCTGCTGTCGGAGATCACCTCAGCCCGCGAGGAAGAAACAAGCACAGCTTGTTGACTAACAGGTAGGGGCTGGGGGCTTAGTTCAGGGTTCTGCTTCGCCGCTGGATCTGAACAACCACTCAGGTCTTTTGGCCCTGCTTTGCATAACGCCAAGACTTTGCGTGAGTGACGCGACCGATAACACCCCACTCGGCTTTCATCTGCTGCGCCAGCTTGGCGTTGAAGGTGAAGACGTTCCCGAAGATAAGCATGATGGCATCATCCCAGGGATCTTGCCCAGGGAGGCTGCCAAGTATCATAATGTTAACATAGTCTGCTATGGTCCGTCGAAGTTGGGAGGCGACCACAAAGTGATCCAGCTCGAGGTTCACCACCCAGTCGAAGCCATCGGTTGTGTTTGTCCGAAGCAAATAATCCCAAGCCGGGAGGAGCCCCACCATGTTCTTCAGGAGCAGCCAGAACTGCTCCGAACGAAGCTGCTGGGTCCGTGGCAAGGGGATCTTTATGATGTCGGAGGCGTTCTCGCCAGGGGCATCCGTGTCAGTAAAGAAGGCATAACCGTCGCAAGCTTGAAAAAGTTGCCGAGCAAGAGGCAGCAGGAGCTCTTCGCGAGGACGTCGAGCTGTCCACCCAAAGCAGTAGAGCTTCAATTGCTGAGCGCTGGCCTGAGAAAGGGGCTCACGCAGCTTGTTGTCCGGCTCCTTCTTGGAGCTGCAAACAACCTCACGGCCATATTTCGAAAACTTTGTCCGGAAGCGGTTGAACATGATATCTTGGTCTGCTGCCCTGTGGATGCATCCATAAGGTTCTGACAAAGACGAGATGAATCCAGCAAACTTTCGCTTGAGACGTCTGGCTGCCTTTTTGCAATGCTGTGGATCCCGGAATGGAAATGTTCCAGCAGGACAGGAGGTGCTCGTGATCTTGAAATCTTCATCAGCAGGCAGCGGGTCATTGTCGCTGTTGTCAGGTGGCGGCAAATTCACTTCTTCTTCAACTTGGCTTGGTGTCGCTGGTGAGACAAGATCCAACGAGCCCAAATCAGGTCCACCAGTGCAGACTCGCCGTCTGTCCTCCTTGTGGACTGAAGTTGAAATCACATTAAACATGTAGTCATCATCGGCGACTCGGTGCAAACAGCCGCTGGGCTCTTGCAGAGCTTCCAGCGCTCCGACCTGGCTCAGGAAACGGGGGGTTTCCGAAAATAGGGGACCCTAATATAGTACCCCAGATAGTAGGATCGGCATTATAAGGACCCCAACATGAGGCACCCCCAATTTTCGGAAACTCCCATATTTGGGCAAACGTACAATGACGATGAGTATGCTTGAGAAGAAGCCAGAAAGTCCACGGAAAGAAATGGGCGACAAAGGCACTGCAGTAGCTGAGTCATGCCGAAGTTTAGCTGGCAAGATGATTCTTTCTACCTTCAGGCAAGGCATCGCTGCGCCATTCCGCTGATACCCTGAAAGCATAATGCGACCAATCAGCTCTCCATTGCGAAGGGAGGGCTGTCTTTGCATACGTCAATCCGCAAGGCTTGGGGGAGCCCAGACTCCCCGAAAATCAGAAAAAAACTTCGCCCGCCCCTTTGCAGGCCCCGGCACAAAGCGCTTGCCGAAGAATTCTGCAGCTTTCCGGCAGAGATCTGCCGAAGTCACATCCATGAGATGAGGACAAGGTTGGTCACCTCCAGGGACGTTCTGAAAATGATGTGGTCCTGATAACAATGAAATCCTACTGATGACGATCCGGCACTTCCTGAAGCTCCAAGATAGGGGTCGAGGACCTTTGGCCTAATACTTGCAGCTCAGGCCCTCTCAACCCAATGGGCTTGCTATCGGATATCAAACACCAGGGTTCAGGGTTTTGAGATGCTTCAAAGTTTGGGGTCCTTACGAGACCCTGGCCGTTAGTCGCGTCACTTTGCCCCCTTGCGAACTGAGGAGCGTTCACACTGTACAGGTGCCAACTTAAAGAAATGCTTCCCCGCCTTCGATCAAGAACTACACGGAGAAAAGAGCTTACCACTGATCTGCGAAGGAACAGGCAAAGGAGCAAACATGGTACCCAAAACATGCACAAATGTCTGCTTCAATATGCTGTATTATGTTATATCATGATATATATATATATATATGTATGTAAATATCTATGCACAGATATGTATATATATATATATATATGTGTTATATCATATCATAGTTTGTTGAGCCCTGCCGCCTGCAACTCGGGCAAACTTGGGCTCAGCGTCCGTCGAAGTGGTCTCAGATGTGGAAAATCTCAAAACGACAACTCAGCAAAACCAAAAGCTTGTGTCTGTTTTTTTTTTGATGGGCTCGTCTCCACTGTTTAGGTTTTAGGGTTCTAAATATCAATAAGAATGTATTCTTCATTCATTACTTATCAATTATGTTCTGGAGAATGGGCCGGCATGTTGCTAAAGATGCTGGTGATGAGTGTTAGGATTCTAGATTCGATTCATCTTCCTACCAGCTCGTGGCAGCACTTATCACCCAAACCTCTTAATCCTTGAGCCGTAAACCCTTAAACATCCTAAAACCCTATTCTACCATACTGTATTCCTAAACATCCTAAAACCCTGACCCAAATTTATTCCATGCAGGACTCCGTCGTGACCGCTGCATCGGTTTGACCCGGGTCATCGGTTCCAGCAGAGATCTGATCCACCTGAGGCGATCTGGGCCTCAGTCATCAAGACTGGAGAAGATCTTCCCGTTTGACCCAGGAAATACTGAAAATAATGCTAAGAACAAACTGATCATCACATAAATGGTAAGAATCAGGAAAATCATGATGCGAAAAATAATGATAACAGAAACAATAGCATTACTAGGAATAGTAGTAAGAAGCATAATACTAGTAATTGCATAGTAGTAATTGTAGGAATAACGCAATCAGTCCGCCGAGGCCAGAGGCCCAGGCGTTTTGGTGGTTACCTCAGGTACCCTCCACCTAATCCTCCTCCCTGCAGCCGAAATGATTGGTGACACACTGTTTTTGCGTTCGTTTGCCACCCCCTTGCCCGGCTTCCCCTCATTTTACCTGATTTGTCGGCCCTCCCTTCCCTCATTTTACCTGATTTGTCCCCTCCCAAACCCCCCCCGCCCCCCCCTCCCTCCCCCCCTTCACCCCCCCCCTCCCTCCCCCTGTGCCCGTTTTCCTGGCACTTCGTATCAACAACCGTGTAAAGCTTGGGGTTTGACAGGCCGCCCTAGCATAAAAAAACATCGACTGCCCCCTCGCCCTGCCGCTACACAGCCGAGGCGGGCGGCGTAGCGTTAAAATTACTTCAGACGAGATTCTCTGGAAGTTGGGGCTCCTGTGGTCCACTGACCATGCCGAGCTCTGGCATCTGCTGAATGCTGGCCGTCTGGAGCTCTTCCGCTTGCGTCGGTGCACTGAAAACTGCCTCGATGGAGAAAGACGTGATGTTGGTCAGGTTGATTTCGCTCACCACACCATTCAGCAAGAACACGCTTAAAATGGCGCTGCCTATTGTGCTCAGCATCAGCCGGGAGCTGCAACAAACGTGCTGCGCTCGTGCCATGGCACAGGGTGTTCCGGTCTCTCAGCATTCTTTGTGCCGTTCCGGACACGCTGGGTTCGGGGAGCCTTTGTTTCTCTGAGCCCTTGTGGAATGATTGGAGCAATGTCCCGGCCGCGATGGAGCGAAACAGTCACACGGCCTTGTATTCTCGAGCTTCTGCTGATCAGCCGAAACTTGAACAACGAAGCAGATTGGAGACAGATAATATCACAACGTGTCCGTGTTGCAGCAAAGGGCATGGCCTGCCTGACTTTGGCAGATGGGGTGGCGGCGACAAGAACGAGAACCGACTTTTCCCGGCTAGGGATGGATTGTGTCCTCAGCCACAAATCCGTAAACTGCTGCCAAGCTTGGTCTGCAATCAGACGAGGGCCCCTCACCTTTACAGTGGTAGATTCTAGATCTCAGTGCGTGACGCATGGCTGCTGTTCGTTTCCGCCTCTCCTGCACACAGATGTGACACGGCATTGCAGGGACGGGACCTGTTCGAAGCCATGGCAAAGTGCGTCAGAGTTCCGTCCTGCTCCCAGTGCATGTGCGGCTGGTCTTCTTGACCTGTCACCCTCCTAAAGTCCTAGTAACTCGCCGGAGGATCGAGCTAACGAGCTGGGCCTTCCGAGTCGTAGGCTATTAGGTAGGTGTCGGTTTCGGCACTGTAGGCAACGACTCGTCCTGCATCTCATGGGAATCTGGAGCGCAAGCCTCCCGTCCGCTATCCCAGCCTGTGTAGTAGCGCTCATTGCTATAGCCGTGGTCTTCGGCCAGGACCGCTACATGCCATCCCACCGCATCCTGAAAACCAAAACAAGGGAATTCCGGAAAACAACCCTTGCAGCTGAGTGCCTCCCCGAAGGGTCGTTCGATGAGCGACCGGAGCAGATTCTCACCTCAATTTGCAACAGATCGCGGCATTTCGGATGCGGCGGCTCCAAGCTAAGCCGGCAAACCGCTCGGAGCACTGGAGTCATCCACTCTTTGCGTTCGATCCTCAGATACCGTAGCGCCGGCGTAGAGCAGAGGTTCTGTCAGCTCTGTCCTTTTGGATGCTTGGAGGCTGGCATAGGCATCGGCCCACACGTGGTGGGAGTCGCCGGCGGCTCTCCAATTCCGGTCGACTGCCAAGCTGGCACCTCGAGCGCCACGGCGACAGGTGAAACACCCATGGTACCAGCACCATGTGGTAAGGAAACACAACATGACAAAGTGGAGCATGGCATAGCATGGCAGGACAGTATCATACCAGAGCACACCACAGTGATCTGCTATTTCGCGACATAAGCCATAAGAGAGAACCAACAATCATCCTTTCAGAACTTAAAGATTCCGGGCCTAGGTCTCGGATGCTGCAGAAACGGAAGATGTCCAGCCAGGCCTCAGCAAAGCTTAGAGCACCCCTTCGTTGCAGGGCATACCTAGTTACAAAGATGATGCTAGTGGAGAGGACCCCAAGATTGAACTGTGGTGCTGCACTTTTCCAAACTTGGGTTGCCGGCGGTTGGCATAGTGTGCTTCCACAGGGTCGAGAACAGCGTCGTTTTGCCGGGGTTGGCTTTGTAGGTTTTTTAGCAACGTCAATACATATATACCATGCAAAATCAAGCTCGTGGGCATCTACCTTGATACATTCCTTCCTTCCTTGCCGCAGGTCTTAGGCCTGTTGTACAAGGTCTTCCCCCATACTTCAAACCAGCGGAAAAGAATAGCATGGGCAGTTACCGTGCAAAAAACAGAACCCCGAAAAACTCCCCGACAAGCAACCCGCCCGTAGCTTTGTTGCTTCAGACAACTGAATGCAAGGAGAGGGAGTGAGCCACTCGCAGGAAGGTGGGAGAGGAAGGAGGGAAGGAATACAGTGGGGCAGCGGAAGCAGCAAAACCCAAGCCTTGCAGAATCTAACAGCGAGAGAAAGACAGGTCTGGCCTTTAAATCCTATTTGATCCTATTTGTCCCAGGAAGATGATCCTCCAAAATGAGCTGCGGCGCGGAACAGCAACACGTGCGAATGCATGGACGCGTGAACGCCGGCTGATGCATGTTTGCACCAATGCCGCAGCAATCTCAATCTACCTGCAATTCAATGTGCCACTTAGCTCGCGGCTGGGTTCAACGCCTGACGATCGGAAAATGCACAAGCTTGACCGTGCTTGGAAACTGCTGCAGCAGAAGGCTGCCTTGCTGTCAAGACCATATGTTTCTCCGAAGTCTAAGATGTCTGAGTGCATGATGAAACTGGCTACAGGGCCTCCCCTGCGACCAGTTTCGTGCCTCATACAACCACCTTGCTATTATGACCCTAGCTGCTGGGTTCCATGATACCTAAATGGGACTTTCCGAAAATAGGGGACCCTAATATAGTACCCTACATAGTAGAATCCTTATTACAAGGATCCCAAAATAAGGTACCCCTAATTTTCGGAAACTCTAAACCCTAAACCCTTTATAGATCCCTTTAAGGAGCCCTTAAAGGATCTCTTTAAAGGTACCCCTAATTTTCGGAAAGCTCCCAAATAGGCAAAAACAACTGCCGAGGGGCGAGGATGCTTGGTAAGCCAGGGCTGCTAGGGCTCGGTCGGAGCATCGGAACCTGAAGCGCCGGAGACCAAAACACTGAAGGCTAGTAGGAGGATCATGGGACTTAGTAAGCAGGGCTATAAGTACCTTAATTGGGGTTCTAAGTAGTTATAAGTGTAGTTAGTGCTTAAGATTTTTAACTGTGAGTGCAGTTGGAGCTGGTTGAAGGACTTGTACCAGTACTAGTCCTAATACAAATGCTATGTGTCGTAGTATTCGCATAGCACCGGTGCTAGTATTTTGGATTAGAAGGCAACTATTCTTCAAGGCCCCCACTCCCATCGTGGAATGCGATGGGCAGGCAGCTCGCTGGAATCGCGTGTCATGCACTCTGCTCCGGCAAGGAGGCGCTATGTTGTCACGTCTGCCACCGGAAATGCGGGAAGCGACTTGGATGGATGTTGTAAGACGTAGTGCTGGGTGGTATCAATAGCTCTGTGGCTGGACTCCCACCGAGTGGCCAGCAGGGTGATTTCAAAATTGTGATATATACTGGGGTCTTGCAAGGTCATGCATTGGGTCCATGACGGCTTCTATGCTTGCCATCCAGAATATCAGCATGCCGCGTGGTCGAAGTTGATGTGATGTAAGCTGCGAAATGACTCGTATCCCCATACGGATATCCCAAAGACATCGGCGCTCACAGTCTCTGAGGAGCACTGCATGCTATGCTTCTCCCGTCACGACACACGACACACAAATCGACATCTGCAGGCATTTTTTGATGCAGTCATGCTGCAGAAAACGGACGCTTGAGGTAAGTTAAGCTGCCTGCAGGCCTTCTGCAAACAGCGAAAATTGTCTCCTCGCAGTTCCCTGGCCACGGTGCCCTGCTGTAGACTGCGGCATGAGGATTGCTGCACCTCTCGAAGACGATGTCCCTAGCCTATGTCCTATGTATACTTAGAGATCTACTTGGCATCAGCAACGGAGATGTGCAGCAGGTGAGACCATCGTGGAAGCATGTGAAGCTCTCGGCTTTTGGGCATGATGCCACCTGCGCGTCATTCGGATACCACTCTGGGCGTTATCCCACCTGCTTTTGTTGGAGGTGAGTCGGAAAGACACTGCTGGTGCGCTTGCCTGTCCGGTGCTTCGTGGTGTTCACAAAACGAAGCTGATCTTGGGCCGAGTACATATACACTCCTCTTTACTGCCATTACCCCGAGGAAGGTGATTGCAAGGAAGTGCCTCTTAATTAGGGGTTTCTTGAGCATCCTCCGACTGGTTCTTTACCAGGGCTCTTGATGCAAGCGCAAGCCTGCTTAAGAGCACAAAGCCCCGAAACTCCAAGCCGTCCGGGTCCCTAAGCAGCGCACCTTGAATCCCAATAGCTGCAACAGCGATGCCAACACAACGGCGACACTAACAGTGGTACTGGCAACAAGGACCTTAGAAAAGGTGAACGAGTACTGATGACAACATCCTTCAAGCCCGCAACGACCTCAAAACCTTGAAACCCTAAACACCTAAACCCTAAAACCATGCTTGCCCTAGACTTGGGAGTCCCGATTTCCCACTGTGGCGGGTTTCCGAAGCCCCCCCTGAAGCTCTGAAGTTCCCACAAACCAGCTAATCTAGGGTGCCTTAACAAGCAGAATAGGGTCTTTGGGCAAGTTGTAGCATAACTATGAGGACGACAATTATATGGGGACTAGGAGGGGATACTCGTAGCAACTATTCAGGCCCCCCTGATCCCCCCTGTATCACCCGATGTTTCCCGTGCCTTGAAGACTCGAGAGGCCGGTTTCTCAGGAGGCCTGCATACGATTTGGGTGGTTGTCAAAATTGCGGCCCCTTTTTGAGTCCTTATTACAATACGGCATCTCATATTTAAGGTACCCAAAAAGGGGTCATAATTTTGACAACTACTATACGACTTGGGCATTAGCTTTCTCGAAGGCTTTTGCTTCTGTGACGGTTGACGCTTCTCTTGTAGCATCGCGACAGTTACTTGAGGAACGCCGGCATCGGCAGAACAAGTGCGGGGGCACTCTTCAATCAACCGCCGTAAAGGGCCGTAAAGGGATATTCCATTCCCTTCTGAAAAGCAGATTGTCTTCTGGTTACCATCGATGTCGTAGCTAGTCTTTTCACATTGCTGTGATGTCTCCAGGTGAAGTCTATAATAGTTAACAGTAACACTTATAATAGTCACAATCATTTGTACTAATTGTACTAACAATAATTATGGTAGTAATGTTAATAATAATAAAACTGTCAATCATGGGTCCGTTCGCCTCGTGACCCGGTAAAAATGCCATGGTTGCCATTCGCACCAAAGTTTCAGGCGAAGAGCCACTGCCCACTGAAAGCATTGGCGATAGCACGTGGTGTCATGAGAAACGGCACTGGCGCAAGTGCGGCATGACCATATATATATATAATATAAATATGAATATCTATATATATATATAGATAGATATATTTATATTCGATTATATTATATATACAGTATGTGTCCCTTCATACGTCTGTATGTGCGATCTCCCAAGTTCCGGCCTCAGACTCGGCTGCATCGAGCAAGGCCCGATCTTAGCAAACATGGCCCGGCAAAGCAGCGCAGACAGGAAAGCCATGGCGGCACAGCTAAGAGCATACCTTTTACCTTGCGGCAACTCTTTCAAACACCAGCCGTGTCGACATTCAGTGCCAGGCCCTCGTCGCTTTCAGCGGATGAGTTGGTGGAATCCACTGGTGCCTGGAGGCATGATACGAAGACGGTACCGCCCGCAATGTGTGGCTGATGAGTTAGTGGCCTGCTCCTCCGCGACTATGGTGGGCGAAACAGGCGCAAGCTCCTTCACAAGGACCTGGGTACAACACAGCAGGGCTCAGACTTGCTAACCCACTGCATAAGGCTGCAGATACTAGTAGGCCTCTGGAACTCCAGACTCATCCCGGACGATCATCATGTCCTCCAGGCAAACACGCTCTCAAATGGAAGAACAGCCTGACGGCTGGGCTATTGCTGCTTGTGTCCTCATCCAGGTATGTCACCAGGATACTTCGACGAAGCTCCAGAGGAAGGTCCTTGCATAAAGAAGCTTCGATGCATTGAACTGGCTCTGGATCTCAGCCCTCAGGTTGGCATACCACCATCTTCCGACTTGCAGCCGGGTGCCCTCCGGCGGGTTCGTTTGCATGGCAAAAGACTTGTTTAGTCTCAAGGTCTCGTGCCTTCATTGCCCTTCTCACCCAGGCACTTTCAAAGGCTTCTGCAAGCAGTATGCCGTCTCGTGTAGCCGAGGCCCCGCTGAAACAAGGCTTTCTGCTACCGCATGTTTTCATGATGGCATGTCGCGTGCAATGCGGTGAAGTCCTGATCGCCGATTGGATCCGGCAGCTTCAGGGCAATCACCTCCGGAGCTGAGAGAAGGTAAGGGAGTGGTAGAGCCGAAAGGAGGCCTGAGAGGGCCCACAAAGGAGATCTGGAAAGGACGAAACAGGAATGTACGATGTCGATGTCAGAGACAAAGAGCACGGGCGAAGGCGGGAGGGCAAAGCACGGCGACTGCAGACTGGAAAGGCGAACATTCTCCGCGGAATCGCTGGCTAGATGCAATGGCAAGCCTCTTCGCTCATGCGCTGTGCGCTCAGCGGCATAAGCTCGGCTTTGTACGTCAATGTCTCCTGCGGCTCAAAGTCTCGCCCGATATCTTATGATAAAGTTACTCTGATCAGCACCACAGGGATGTCTTGTCGCTGCTTAAAGGGACCAAGGCTACTGGAGAAAACGTCTAAGAGTCTATGAGCCAAGCTCTACTCATCTTATTACGTTTTGACAACTTTGTCTCATACTATCCAACTTTCGTCACTCATAGAATCGAAGCCAGCATAGCATAATATGTACTCAAGGAATGATATAATATATATTCAATCAAAGAACAAGATAACATACCCAAACCCACATCCCCGTTTCTCAACCGGCGCGGGAAACTCAGAATCGCACCTTGCGCCCCGCGACTTCCACCTTGGCCGATGCCTCAACATCGCGGCCACCGGAGATCTGGACCTGTCCAGGCAAGCTTACAGCAATCTCATCTCTATATAAGCCTGATTATATGTATGCGTGTATGTGTATCGATATAAATAAGTATATATATATATATATATGTGGTAACCATAACCGTGTCATTGCAATCCTGTTGTGACGCAACCTTGTAGTAGATCCCAGTCGACCCCATGCCAGCGACTCCTTGCTGTTGGGGCCTTCTTGGAGCCAAGCTTCACGCCCAAAGACTGACCTCATTGCAAGATAGCTGCAGCACCGACTTTAGCGCTCTTCGATAGCCCTAGCCGAGGCGTCGGCCCCAAAATCCCTGCGCAAAGGATGACAAAGCGTTTCCCAGCGAAAATCCGCCACCTGACGGAGGAAAGCCGTCGGAGCACTGCACTGACACGAGTTCAGGCTCAGGGTAAGGTTACTCTAAGGGGGTTGAGGATGAGGATACTATGATCAGGTTGCTATAAGGACAGGTCGCGGCAAGGCTACTCTGATAAGGTTGCTACAAGGAGAGGCTATATTCTCCGGCTACTCTGATCAGGACCTGGACGCTGCCAAGGCACCATACAAGAAGAGAGCCAACTCTCGAGTTGGTGACGAGAGCAGGCCCGGAGCATAGGACCCCGCGTACCTCAGAGGCACGGAAGAAAGGAAACCCTACTGCTGCTACTACTACAACAACAACAACAACTACTACTACTGCTACTACGTGCGTGTTTCCTGCTTGAGTGACTCCTCTGGCAGATTAGGGACCTGACTTCACGTTCCAAGTGCCATCTAGCTCAATGGAGTACACGGGCTCCTCCTGGGTGTTCAGCCTCACCGTTGCACATAAACGGAGCGTCAACAAACATGGAAGAGTGGCTCTCTCCCTCTTCTTAGCGTCTGGTGTCTTTGAAGCGTTCTGAACTGGGAACCCCAATGGCCTCTCTAAGCGGACAATCGCTTCGTCCACCCGCCCGCGCATAGGCTTGCCTGTCCAACTCGTGGTAGAAGGATGGGTGCTGCAGTAGAAGCTGGAAGAACAAGATCAAGTGGGCTGTTGTTGTTGTTGGTGGAGGTGGTCGGCGATGGTGGCGGTATCAATCAGTCAATCTATCTATCTGGTAGATATGATAATAATAACCTTAATAATTTTGATAAGCATAATGAACACATTGTTAATGACTAATCACAATAATAGAAATATAATATAACGAACTATCGCATAAACTGAAAAATACAATGCAACGAAGTATAACATGACAAGATACGAAAACTACCAGTATTTATACAT